CACAGGCTAGAGGAGGAGCAGCGACAGCTCGAGATCCTTCAGCAACAGCTGCTCCAGGAACAGGCTCTGCTGCTGGTAACGGGCCCTCTGCCTCCGCGGGAAGATGCTCTCCAGGGCGCCTCTGCTGGAGGGGTGGGCCTGCCCGGGAGGGGCTCGCCCAGGCGCTGGGCAAGCACCTCGGCCAGGCAGTTGGAGGAAAGAAAGGGCTGCCTGCTCTGACTTCCAGGCCACTCCCTGCTGAGCCCGCTCTGCCTACCCTTGGCCCCAGGAATACAAGCGCAAGCAGCTGGAGGAGCAGCGGCAGTCGGAACGGCTCCAGCGGCAGCTGCAGCAGGAACATGCCTACCTCAAGTCCCTGCAGCAGCAGCAGCAGCAGCAGCAGCTTCAGAAACAGCAGCAGCAGCAGCAGATCCTGCCCGGGGACAGGAAGCCCCTGTACCATTACGGTCGGGGCATCAATCCTGCGGACAAACCAGCCTGGGCCCGAGAGGTACTCACGGCCTCCCAAGACACCAGGCATCCCAGGCAGGGTTGTGGGTCAGGCAGTCGGGCCAGTGCTGACCTCAGTTGTGAGAGCAGGGTGGCCAGAGGTGCCCCTGCGTGACGGCCTGTCGCATCACCGCAGGTGGAAGAGAGAACGAGGATGAATAAGCAGCAGAACTCTCCCCTGGCCAAGACTAAGCCGAGCAGCACAGGCCCCGAGCCGCCCGCCCCCCAGGCCCCTCCAGGGCCCCCAGGGCCCCTTTCGCAAACCCCTCCTATGCAGAGGCCAGTGGAGCCTCAGGAGGGACCTCACAAGGTGAGTCCTCTTGCTGTCCCACTGCCAGGGCACAGCGCTTAGCCAGGGATCTCGAGCCTCGGACACCCCGGCCGAGACGGACCCTGCCGCTGCTGCCCCTGTGTAGTCCTCTCGGAGCCCTTGCCCCTGCCCAGGTGATCGGAAGCCAGAGGCATTACTCCCTTGCTTCTTCCTCGCCAGCCCAGACCCCGACTCTGGGAGTGAGTGTGCCGTAGAGTAGGCTGCCCGACCTCCCCGGTCTCTCCCTGCAGAGCCTGGTGGCCCACCGGGTCCCGCTGAAGCCGTACGCAGCGCCTGTGCCCCGGTCCCAGTCCTTGCAGGACCAGCCCACCCGAAACCTGGCTGCCTTCCCCACCTCCCCCGGCCCAGACCCTGCTGTCCCCGCACCCCCCGCCACGCCTAGTGCCCGAGGGGCTGTCATCCGCCAGAACTCAGACCCCACCTCCGAAGGGCCTGGCCCTAGCCCCAACCCCCCAGCCTGGGTCCAGCCAGATAATGAGGCCCCACCCAAGGTAAGGCAGGCAAAGCCCGGGAAATAGCAGGGGGGGAAAGGTGGCAGAAAAGGAGGGCAGGTAAGGTAGAGATGGGGTGGGGGTGCAGAGAGAGAAAAAGAATGCCCCACCCTGCCCTGCCTCTGGTCAAGGGGTATGTCATGCTGGGACATGCCCAGGTGTCTGAGCCCCTGGGTGAGGACCCCAACTTCCCAGGCACAGGAAGCATATCAGACTAGGTGCAGGGAGGGAGGTAGCCTGTGTGGTCAGGGCAGTCCTACTGACCTGCCTTCGCCTGCCCCCTCAGGTGCCTCAGCGGACCTCCTCCATCGCCACTGCCCTTAACACCAGTGGGGCCGGGGCGCCCCGGCCAGCACAGGCCATCAGAGCCAGGTAACTCCAGGATGCCGTTGAGTGGTAGCCTAGGGAGTGTGAGGGTGTGGGGGAGCTCACCAGGTCACCCACTTAGGGGTGGGATGCCCCAACCCAGCCCCTTCAGCCCCTCCCTGCCCCGCCTGGCCCCCTGTGCTCCCTCCACAGACCACGCAGCAACTCCGCCTGGCAAATCCACCTGCAAAGGCGGGCCGAGCGGGGGGGCCCCCAGCCTCCAGGGCCCCCTGTTCAGCCCCCTGGCCCGCCCAGCGCCTGTAGGTAATGGAGTTGTTCCACGCCCTCTCCGCTCCTCACTCTGCCACCTGCTTTTCCTGGTGATGGTTCCCTCTGCGTGCAGCTCAGCTCTTGGGCTGAAGCCCTGGCCCCCCTGACCCCGAGTCTGCCCCCCACAGTAACCCCGACCTCAGGAGGAGCGACCCTGGCTGGGAGCGCTTGGACAGCATCCTCCCTGCTTCGCACAGCCACCTCCCCCAGGCCGGCTCCCTGGAGCGGAACCGTGTGGGGGGTGAGTGAGCCCCGTAGGGCCTGGGCATTCTCGACCGAGACTCTGGGGAGTGATGGGGACCCGGGAGGGCACACGGCACGCACCTGCTTGAACTCAGGACCACAGGGCCAGACAAGGGTGACCCGAGGCCCTCCCTCCCCTCTGTGTCGGTGACCCCTCCTCTCCCCTCTTCTCCCCCAGCCGCCTCCAAACTGGACACCTCCCCGGTGCTCTCCCCTGGGAGCAAAGCCAAGCCCGATGACCACCGCTCCCGACCCGGCCGACCCGCAGTAAGTCCCTGCTCTGGGCTCGGGCAGAATGGAACTGGGGTTTGGCAGGGGTGGGTGGGGTGTGCACATATTAACCTGGGGGAGAAAGGGCTTGGGGAGTGGGGCGAGCGCTTCTCATGAGTACTAACTTCTCTCCTGTCTCTCCCCCGCCGCCTCTCCCAGAGCTATAAACGAGCTATTGGCGAGGTTAGTGCTGGGGTCCTGCTTGCAGGGGCCTCTCCTGTCCACCTGCCCTAGCTGCTGCTCACCGGGTCCTGCGGCCCTGTGCCCAGAGCCCTCTCCCCGTCTTGTGTCCTGCACAGGACTTTGTGCTGCTGAAAGAGCGGACCCTGGACGAGTTCCCCCGGCCCCCCAAGAAGGCCATGGACTACTCGTCGTCCAGTGAGGAGGTGGACAGCAGTGAGGACGAGGAGGAAGAGGGCGATGGCGAGCCCTCCGAGGGGAGCAGGGACACCCCCGGGGCCCGGTATGTGTCAGTACCACAGAGGGATGCTGGCACGTGGGGTGGGGGCAGTCTGAGGGAGCCATCTCCTGCTGGAGAGTGGGAGAGCGGGGAACCCTGGCCTGGCTGGCTTGCCAGACCCTCCTCCCTCCTCAGGTGTGTCCGAGCAGCCAACCTTCCTTAAGTGCCCAGCACAGGCAGCTGCAGGGGCCCGAGGTACCCTCCATGTGGGCTGAGCAGCGACAACACACAAGTCGCCCGTGGCCTATGGTTCTTGAGTGGCCAGTCTGACCCTCCTCTACCCCCCAGCAGCGACGGGGACACAGACAGCGTCAGTACCATGGTGGTCCATGATGTTGAGGAGCTCTCTGGGACCCAGACCCCATTCGGGGGAGGGACCATGGTGGTCCAGCGTGTGAGTGCCCTCCCCGCTCTCCTCCAGTGCCT